GGGATGGTTCAGGCTTGGTAGCGGTTCTGATGGTTCAAGCGTTTGGTGATAGTCCTGGAGACAAGGCGGGCTGGGTAGCCATTGAGGACAGTAAAGGTTCTCTTGAGGTAATCAATTTCACTGTTTAAATTATCTGGGTGACAGATCGACTTGGCTCTTCTAGTGAGAGTAGCAATAATTGCTTGTTTGATCTGTTGGTGGTGACAGGAGTTGTAATTGATATACTGATCCGTGTGAGTTGGCTTCCTGTACACAGAAGTGGCGACCTTTGTCTGTAGATTGGAGGGCAACATCTAGGAAAGGAAGTTGCGGTTCTGCTCAGTCTCCATTGTAAACTTTATCCTCGGATGCTGGTTGTTGAGGTGCTGCAGTAGCTGTGCTGGGTCATCTTCCTTGTCTATGGTAGTGAACGCATTATCATCTACTTTCGCGATACCAGCACAAAGGTTGAAAGGTGCTGTGGAGAGAGCAGATTCTTCAAAGGAAGTCATATATATTTCAGTGATAGCGGTGACAATGGTGAGCCCATAGGCAGGAGCCATGTATCTGTCTATATATCTTGTCATTAAATGTGAAATAAGAGAAATCAAAACAAGTTGTAGCGAGGTTAATGATGCTATTTATCGTGGAGACTGGTATCAAGTTCTTTGATTCGAGTCTGGAGCTTGTTCGAGAGAATTTCCAGGGCTTCTTGCAAAGGGATGTTAGTGAATAGGTCAACTACATCATAGCTGACCATGATACCGAAAGTTGATCTTCTTTCAACTTGCTTATAAAGGCCGATGAATCGCTGATGAATGCCTTCCCATCTTTACCTAAGGGTGCCAGGATGCGAGAGAGGTGCTGCGCAGTGCTGTAAAGACAGATCCTCGTGAACAGACAAGTACCCTGGCTTTTGGTGGGTTCTTGTGTATTTTTATGGTTGCTCTCCCATATGGAGCTTGAGAGTTGATGGGATTGAGCTTATTAAAGACAATATCGTTTATCTCTCTGTTTTGCGTGAAGATCCTTGAGGGTCTTCTTATGCTCACGCTGTTTTGCAGTGGGGTCTTTGCATGATGATGAGATAGGTTGAAGTATCAGAAAGGCTGTTGTTTATGAGCTGTTCATCACAAAAAGACCCCACTGCAAAACTTGAGCGTGGAGCATAAGAAGACCCTCAAGGATCTTCACGAAAACAGAGAGATAAACGATATTGTCTTTAATAAGCTCAATCCCATCAACTCTCAAGCTCCATATGGGAGAGCAACCATAAAAATACACAAGAACCCACCAAAAGCCAGGGTACTTGTCTGTTCACGAGGATCTGTCTTTTACAGCACTGCGCAGCACCTCTCACGCATCCTGGCACCCTTAGGTAAAGATGGGAAGGCATTCATCAGCGATTCATCGGCCTTTATAAGCAAGTTGAAAGAAGATCAACTTTCCGGTATCATGGTCAGCTATGATGTAGTTGACCTATTCACTAACATCCCTTTGCAAGAAGCCCTGGAAATTCTCCGGAACAAGCTCCAGACTCGAATCAAAGAACTCGCTACAACTTGTTTTGATTTCTCTTATTTCACATTTAATGACAAGATATATAGACAGATACATGGCCTGCCTATGGGCTCACCATTGTCACCGTTTATCACTGAAATATATATGACTTCCTTTGAAGAATCTGCTCTCTCCACAGCACCCTTTCAACCTTTGTGCTGGTATCGCAAAGTAGATGATACGTTCACTACCATAGACAAGGAAGATGACCCAGCACAGCTACTGCAGCACCTCAACAACCAGCATCCGAGGATAAAGTTTACAATGGAGACTGAGCAGAACCGGCAACTTCCTTTCCTAGAAGTTGCCCTCCAATCTACAGACAAAGGTCTCGCCACTTCTGTGTACAGGAAGCCAACTCACACGGATCAGTATATCAATTACAACTCCTGTCACCACCCACAGATCAAACAAGCAAGCAATTATTGCTACTCTCACTAGAAGAGCCAAGTCGATCTGTCACCCAGATAATTTAAACAGTGAAATTGATTACCTCAAGAGAACCTTTACTGTCCTCAATGGCTACCCAGCCCGCCTTGTCTCCAGGACTATCACCAAAACGCTTTGAACCATCAGAACCGCAAGCTACCAAGCCTGAACCATCCCCGATCAGGATCACAATACCCTACGTGGGACCAGTCAGCCATCAGATAGCCCGACTAATCAAGAGCAAAGCGGCTTTGATGTAACTTTCTAGCGGTACAGCAATTAAGACACCCTCCGGCAAATGGAAGAGGATCTAGTAATGGAAGCCCCAACCCTAGAGGATGTGTATACCAAATACCATGCAGCTGTGGTGATCAATATATTGGTGAGACTCTCAGGCCCATTAACACCCGGTTGCTGAACACAAGTCATCAGTATGAAAAAAATGATAAGTCAGCTATATCGAGCACAAGGCAAATAACCCAAGTCATGTAATCATGTGGAACGATATTAGGGTGATTTCGAAAAATAACAATGACTGGCGCCGGAGAAAACTACAGGAAGCTGTCGAGATAAGGAGACATAAACCAGCAATTAATCGTGATCAAGGTGTATACCTGCCAAGTGCATGGGACCTCTTGATTAACTTTTTTGATGAACTTTAGATACAAGAAAAACGAAGTCTACTATTCTTTTGGAAAGCCTGCTATCAAGGAACTTTTGTGTTATTAGCAGTTGTTGTGTATTAGCATGAATTTCATCATTATGTAATTAACTCTTCAAACTCACTTATACAGTACTCTCCCTAGTGTACTGTGATGTCACTTGCATTGTGACGTCATAACTCAGTTATGACGTCATAGTGACGACGTCATAGTCCTAACTGCCAGTTCACCTGATGAAGGGACCTGGAATGGTCTCGAAACGTTATGAGAGAAATTAAAAAAGAAGTTTAATCCATAAAAATATCTTGGACATCAATGTACAACTTCTAAATGCCACTGAAAGACATAAACATAGTAGATGTGATATTGGTATCTTCATCATGATATCCGGAAGTAGGCCATATTTAAAGTTAGCGAAGTCTCGCTAAGCGAGATCTCGCGAGGCAAACTACCCATAAACCCTTCTTCATCATGGCCTCAATGTAAATAGACACGTGAGCCGGCCGTTCCGTAAGTTTTCATCGTTTTCATTTGCATAGATTGGTATGAATAACAACTCATCCATCAAAGGGTCCATACAGGACCCAGATGGTATATCTAAGCAGAAAAATGTGCCCGAAGAGGCGCATAAATCTGCAGCTGATGATATGTCGAAAAACCACGTGGATGGTTTGGGCAAGTCCCATCAACCCCAACCACCAGGGTCGGGCAACAAGCGAGACTTGGGGTTGGATAGCCACTCAAAACAGCACAAACGTGCTCGAATTTACGCATGGGTGGCTTCTGCTTCTGACTTTGAGTCAGATTCAGAATCAGAATCTTCCCCCTCGAGCGATGTAAGCTCAGACGAACCATACGTTGAGTCTGCTACGAATCAATGTGGGGATAAAGGGGTCGTTCCGACTAAACCGGTAGTCAATAAGACAGGAACAATAGAGACTTTCGATGATTACTCCCCTTCTCGTTAGCTGACGCTAAAGACCCATCAGAATGGTGTCTCCCGCATCATCTCTCACGACAGACTCAGAGAAATTTCTGTCTTCTGCCAGGATTCCAAACTGGAGGAAAATATTCTAGAGGATCTTCCTGTCCCTTCAGAGGAATGTCTACAGACACCTTCTCTGGATCCATATCTAGACGACATCTTTGAGGCAAACGGAAAGTGGTTTGAGAAAAAGGTTGACCAATCCGTTCAATTTTTTCAAAAGCGGATTCTGAATTCCATAGGGCCTCCATGTTACCTGTGGTATAACCTTGATAAGATCTGCAGAGGTGAATCCCCCGCCGATTTAGATATTTTTGAGCTGTTGGAATTGGTAGAGAAAACTACCTGTCTTTTCGGTCAGGCCAATGTCTCCATGAATTACAACAGAAGGCTAAACATTCTGGCTAAACTTTCTAAGGATGTCAAGAAGGCTAAACACCTCATTCTCAAGCATGACACAGCTTTGTCAGAGGATAAGGGCAGACTTTTTGGGGATGCCTTTTATGACATCATGCTGAAGGAGGTCAAACGTAAGACCAAAGCAACAAGAAGACAAAGTCATCCAGAAAGGAGCACTATCACCAATTTCAGTCTATGTCAAACTTGTTGCCATGGAAATGCCAAAAGTATTTTATTCAGAATTCCAAAACTACCAAAAGGCACCAGTACACCACCAGATCCATGTATGTGCCAAGTTTGGTGAAGAAATATTGAATGGTTTTAGAGTTCTGATCCGGAAAAGAGCACCCATCTCTTCTCAGCTAATGGCTCTTAGTCATCTGAGATGAGATGTTGAAGCACGATCGATAAATCCAAAGCTGGAGGCCGGAATTTCTTGGTCTGATCAGCCAACTAGTAGGAGCACAGAAGAGACTGAAGTTCAAACACTGTGGAAATCTTGATGCCAGTAGAGGTGGATATCACTGTGTTGAGAGAAGCCAAATAAGTGGTAAGAGTTTACCAGTTGAGATTCGAAAGAATGCAGATGCTCAAGGCAGTCGGCGACAACCTGAGCTGAAGCTGTAGTTGGAGATGGTACTTTGCAATATCGTTCAAACTTCTTCCATTTATCACCGCAAGGGGTCGGTGGGTGGGTGGGTGGGTGGGTGTGTGTGTGTGTGTGTGTGTGTGTGTGTGTTTTCACAGTTCAGGTGAGATCTTTTGCTGTTTTTAGGGAACATAATACAGCAGGTTTCCACTATATCTTGGGTAAGGGAGAGATCAGTATCAGTATAAGTTAGGACAATAAACACTAAGTTCTTTAACAATAATCAGTTACAACAAATAACTTGGACAAGTTGCAAACTCTTATCAGATAAGTCATCTGTTTACACTTATTACATATAAAAATAGTAATCAAAACTATTTTGAGAGCATATACTTACGCCGAAAGAACACAACTGAAAACACAATTCCAAGGCCAAGACCACTTGCTGAAAAAAAGAATAAAACATACTGGATCAACTGATTGCAAAACCTAAAAATACTGCCAAGGCACTGTAGCTCATAAGGTTAAAATATCAGCCAAAACCACCTCTAAAATAATTGCTGTCCACATTGACATACAAAAATTGTCCTCATAAAAATGTAATTTTTCAAGTAAAATTGATATTTTTATACTTATCCTGACTCATGATCTTTTGCATATCTCCCTTTTCCTTGCGAATGGTAGTGGAACACTTGAATCCCTTGAAGTTCCCGAAGCGGACATAAAAATACACTCACCAATGAGTTACCTCCCTTTTCCCGCGTAACCAGTCATGTGACCAGCCTTATTTGTAACTCTCTCCTGATTTTTCTGCCCAAGCACCTGGATTTGCTGTGCAATCCGAAGTGTCTCCAGCGGGGAGGTCGGGAGGGCTTGACCTCATGAGTCAGGATAAGTATAAAAATATCAATTTTACTTGACAAATTACATATTTTTGCTTATCCTGACTCATGATCTTTTGCTTATAGAATCCGACGGGATTGGTGGTGGGTCAGGCCACTTCCTGGATTCATCAGCTGTCCTTAGCTGTATCCCCCCCATGGGAACAGCGTAGCGGCATTTCCGAGATCCTATTCTTCCAACTTCCGTTATAACTCGGGGGGGACCACTTCTTGTCTTACTTCCATCTCAGACAAGTTGAATCATCTTGATTCATGTGGCTTCAGATAAACTAGTATCTTCTTATTACTAGATATCTTATAACAACCCATAGATTATGCTAAGATCTTTCTCATAAATGAGTTGTGACCCCTTCATGTACAAGTAAGATCTTTACCCGTACAGGATCTTTAATCACTCATGCTAGTCTGTCCTATACTGTGCGCATGGACTTTCAAACTAATACTTTTCTTTAGTAAAATTTATCAACAAGTAAACGTGATAAAGGGTGAGATTTTCCAACTCAGCGCGCCTTTGTGGAGCCGTTAGTAGCTGTGCTACAATGAGAGGCCCAAATTGGTGAATGCCTGAGACATCTTCAGTGTCTCAGAGGTAGTGGTTGGCAAACACTGTGTCCGACTCCTAAAAGCAGCCCTCCATAATTGCTGATATAGAGCAATTTCCATGCAGAGCTAGTGTTGACGCCAATGCTCTGACTTCGTGTGGGTTGGAAGCTCTTGGAGGTTCTAGTCCTGCTGCTTTATAGGCTCTCAATATGACGGCTCTCATCAAGAACGATGTCGTTCTTGAGACTTCTGCTGATGTCTCTGTGGATAATGGGATGAACAGGCACTTGAATTTTCGTCTCCTTGTCTTAGTCTTTGAAGATATATCTTCAGGGCTCTGACCGGGACACAAGGATAGGTCCTCTATATCCTCTGGTCCGAGGATTGTAGATAGCACTGGTACGTAGAACTGTCTATCTGCCTGACCAGGTAGTTGGTTCTTGGCAATGAAGTCCCATCTAAGTCCTAGATGAACTGCAGCATGTTGCCCCGTGTCGAATCTGGTTCAACCAATGTCCAGTGCATGTATCTCTGATATTCGAGCTGCAGTGGCTAGCGCAAGCAGGAACAGAGTCTTCTGTGTCAGCAGCTCGAGTGTAGTCTGGTCTAGAGGTTCGTAGGCATCACTTGTAAGATGAAGTAGAATTACATTCAGATCCCAGGCTGGAGCTCTGAACTTCTTTTGCTGGTCCTCCAGTTTAAAAGATCTCAGCAGAGCAAGTAATTCTGGTACTCTCGTCAACTTGATGCCTATCTTCATGGTTATCACTGTACTGATGGCGGCGAGGTATGTAGATAATGTCGAACCTTTCAGATGTCTGGTCTGTCTAAGAAGACACGGGTATTCCGCCACTGGAGGATGAGTAGCTTTCATTGTAATGAAGTCTTTCCGCCTTGCATAAGTCTCAAACTTCAGCCACCTGTCATCATACATGTTACGAGTAGATCTGCGTAACGTTAACGTTCCTGCTTTGGCGGAGTATCCTCTTTTCTTCAAACATGTTTTGATACGGTCCACACGTGTAGCTGGAACAGTGTTGGGTTCCTGTGGACTTGCTTGGTGTGCGGATGTATGAGTAGGTTTGACCAATCTGGTAACTTGATTGTTGGACTTCCGAGATCTTCTAGTATTAGGTCTAAGAACCATACTCTCGCTGGCCAGTATGGCGCGACCAAGGTCAGTTGTAGCACCTGTGTCTGTTTGATCTTCAACAGTACTTTTGGTAGTAATATCAGTGGTGGAAACGCATAAGCATTTAGTCCTTCCCATGATATGTTCAGTGCATCTGATGCTCAGGGGTTGAGGATCTGGAACGGGTGAGACAAATGTCTGTAGTTGTTTGTTGAACCTCGTGGCAAGGTCTATGCATGGGGATCCTATTTCCCTTATGATGAGCCGAAATGCTTCTGGATGGAGTATCCATTCTGTAGGTGACGGGTGCAGTAGTCAGGAGAGAGCATCTGCAAGCACGTTCTTGGCTCCGGGTATGTGACACGCCTTTATCCAGATGTTTGCCTCCTCCATGATGTCAAACAACTGGAATGTGAGCTGTAGTAGGCTTGGTGATCTTGTAGATCCTTGCCGATTTATAGAGAATGCCACTGTAGAGTGGTCAGTGTGGACCATCAGCATTCTGTTGATCAGTGAGCTGGACCATAGTTGTAAGGCGTTGATCACAGCTTTCATCTCCAGCAGATTGATGTGAAAATGTTGCTCTGTTTGGACCACTTCCTTGATGCAACTTGATTGTTGAGATGTGCACCCCAACCTTGTATCGATGCGTCTACGTAGAGATATGTGTCGAAGGCCGGCTCTTGTAAATAGGTCCCTCCGCAGACCTGTGGGTCCACCAAAGTAGGTACCTCTTAAGATTGTCTGGCAGCAAGATAAGGTCGATGCTGTCCAGATGTTTTGTCAGGAACCTTTGCAGCCGCCTTAGTTGTAATCTTCCTGTGCGAGTCAAGTCCTGCACCGAGGGTAGTAGACCGAGTTGACATTGCCATGTTCATAGTGTTAACGGAGAGATGACTGCTCGTGGAATCATGGCTTGTATCTTGACCCAATGATCTTCTGGGACCACAATTCGATTCTGTGTTGTGATAATTCTTATTCCCAGCAATTGAAGATCTTGCTTGATTCTAACTCCAACTTCATCAGGTTCACTAACCATCCCAGTTGTGAATTGTGAAGTTCAGCTGCTGTCTGAGTTGATTGGCACTTTGAAGAACCTGTATGCCGTCGTCCAGATAACAGGCACTGCATAGACCACGATGCTGCAGATAGGTGCCGATAGGCTTGGTTATTCGTATGAATAATCATAGAGCCGACGATATTCCAAACGGTAAGACGTTCCATTGGAAGTGGTAACCTCTGATTGCAGTGATGATACATCATTCTTCCCCTTATATACGCAGGCGATCTGTGTTGACATTGAAGCGCTGTCTATTTATAGTAAGGCTGGATCCAGTGTAGCATCGCAGGGGACAGGTACTCATACCGACTTTTATCAGTGACAACTCCCAAAATAAACATCGTCTATCCTGCTGTCAAGACTAGACATCTATTAGATTCCCATGATGATAACAGGCCGTAGTTGTATACTGTTTCCAAGGCTGCCGATGAAGTATTCCCCCGTAACACGGGTTTGTTTACAAATCAGAAAACATGCTGTAGCCTGCTCTGTCAGTGGGAGGCGTTGACCAATCAGCTTCAAGCATGACGTCACCGGTGATGTAGCAAGTTGGCCTCCATAAAATCTGATGCAATTAGTTGGTTGAGTAAAAGCGTGCGTAAATCTACACCGCTCATATAAACCTCTTGAATAAGGGTTGCTCCAAGTGTAAAATCTTGTTCAGTGATATAAATCACGTATTCCCATTGTGGATAATATAAGCCAGCATGACGAAGGAGGCTATCGAGACATGTCTGTATGGATCTTGAAGAAATACCGAAGCTGAATCTAGTTGATAGGATATAAAATCCTAATCCCCATGCTGAGTGACGAGTGTTAATAATATCATCTGTACGTCCGTTCAAGGATACTTGTTAACCTTAAGCCCTTTACAAAGGTCGCCTTGAGGTTCTCCAGTACTTAAGATATCGGATTCATAGTTGATATCATATTGGAGTCGAAGTGATCAGCGTATAGGCAGTATGTCTCTGTTGGGTTGGAGTGAGTGAGTGAACGACAATATCCGCAGGCCATCTGCTACCCGGTATAAGACCTCAGCATCCGTATAGATGATGATTCCTTTCATCAAGTAGGTTGTCGTCCGAAACTGAACCTATACAGGTATAAGGTTTGTGCAGGTTGTAGAGTTGTGCAGGCTGTAAACTGTAGAGATCGCACATGTTATAGATCTTTTTGTTGAGTTTTAAACTCTGACAAAACCATCCGTTTTCATCATTGCTTCATTTTATTCAGCTGTATGGTAATAGAGTCGACGTCAACATCCTGCCTGTTGATGTATGGGTTTGTTAACCCTAGGGTTCGCGAACCCTGTAGATGTCTGCGTTGCTGTTATCTGCCTGTAGATCTGAGAGTTCTCGAACCTTGTAGATGTCTGTAGCTTTCTCAAAGCTGTGCGTAGGTTAGAAGGTACCTTGAATATAGGTTCAATCGGAGGAATAGTCACCCAGTCAAAGTCGTCATTACGCATCTTATAAGTGTAGACTTCATCTATATCCTTAGAAGGAGACTCCAAGTTCAAACCATTGGCTATCCAATCTATAACCTCTGAGTCCGGGAAGACGAAGTCTGGTTATTCATCAGTTATCTCCTGATCGGTAGAGCTATGCCTCCGCGAATCATACTTCTGCGAACCTGTATCCCTTCTTGAACCTCCATCATCCTTTCGCGAACTGAAGATTCCTCCCTTTGCGAATGTCTATCTTGAGAGTCCTCTCTTCGCGAACCTCTATCTGTAGATTCATCTCTTCGGGAACCTCTATCTGTAGATTCATCTCTTCGCGAACCTCTGTGATGTGCGAACGTCTGTT